TCATGGGGAACAGAGGAATCTGTGGTAGTAAACTAGAGATAGTAAGGCTATAGAGAGGTGGGGTAGGAAGGAGCCTAGGGAAACAGTAACAGGGTCTGAAATTGAACAGAGCTGGATTGCTAGTCATAGCGTCCCTGGGCTGGAACTCAGAGTAGTGGGCAGGTGGTTACCCTACCACCCTCTGGGAAAGTGACACAAGACCTGGATTAGAAGCCCATCTGAGGCAGTGTGTGTATAGCTTGCTTGTCTGGTTGGATTTTATTAACCTAGAAGGTGGGGACTACAAAGTGACCTGGCTAGAGGGCTCAGTCACAAAGAGTGAGTATCCTGATTTTGGAGAGGGGGGGACGGACCACAGCCTGAGTAACCAACAGATGAGGGCACCACATGCAGGGAGAGCTAATTCCCAGACCTAGCCACAAGGAGGAGCACCTGTGGTGAATGAACTGTTGACAGGGCCCCCAGCATGGCCACTAGCATATTTGAAATTTGCTGCCACTCAGTGGGATTCCAAAAGCTGTGACAGTGCCTACTGTCTTGGTGTTAATCCCTGCTAGAATGACTGGCCAGACAGGTATAATTTACATTTTATAACTCATATAAACATTCACTTCAGAGTGAAAAGTGATGTATGTAAACAGAGTATCCTGTAACATTTTTATTTGGGACATACTGAATGGAGTCATCTGCTTCATTAGATTTTTCTCCCACAAGACTGATTTCATTTTTGATGGTGAATGATGGTGACAACTGGTTAAGAACAGCATTAGCATAATTTTCCATCTAATGGGAATGCATTCGCTAGTGCCATTTATTTATAATGAAGTGTAAAATTCAAATTAAAGCAAAGATATTCACCTGTAGGAATTCCCACTCAATCCAAACCTCCCCTGTGCTCATTCTCTGTTGCATCCTCTCTTGGACTAGGGCTTTTCCTCATCTCTTAGGAGACATAAGAGGGGAACATGATATAAATGAATGGTATAGAGAAGGTGAAACTGAATGATGACAAATTCAACGCTGATAAAACTTTTTGCACAATGTGTAATTAGACTGAGAGACACTGCCATGGGTCATCACTGAGGCCAAGAACTTAATTTGAGCAATCTCATTATCTTTCTTGCCTGTCCCTTTAACCATATCACCCCATCTTTTGAAATCTGCCACTGGCTTCTCCTTATCCGTTGCGTTAAGTATAAAGTTCTTGTTTGTCTTTAAGTTCCTAAAGAAGTCCAATATGAACATTGGACCTTGTCTCTTTTCATATCTCCCACAACTCCACCACTGATGCCCCATTTGTTTCTTTTTACCATGCCTCTCTCCATGCTCTTCTGTATCTTATCTTGTATCCAGTGAACCCTAGTACACAAAACTGCCACCTTATTTTTATTCAGATCACTCTGATAAACTCACTACTTCTGTGTGGAAAAGTTGAGTTCACAAGAATAATTTAAAAAACATTTATTGTGTAATTCCTTCTCTCTCTCTTCCATCACTGTCTTTTCTGTATATATCTTTTCAACTGAAAACACTTTGGGGCATAGACTTTGTATCCTGTACATATTTTTATCTTTGTATCTTGTCCAGTGCTGAGGACATTGAAGGCACTAAAATAAAAAATGAAAATAATAACTTTTATGTAAATGACAAAGTAAGTCTGTAGCTATGTCGACTGCTTTACACATTAGCTATGTCTGTTTGTACTTATAGTACTGTGACTTCTGTTCACAAGAATTGCACGGTCATGCTAACTACAGATATGTCTACACTGCATTAAAACACCTATTGCTGGCCTGTGTCAGCTGACCTGGGCTTGGGCTGTGGGGCTATACAATTGCAGTGTAGATATTTGGGCTTGGGCTGGTGCCAGAGTCAGCTGACGCAGGTCAGCCCTAGGTGTCTTATTGCAGTGTAGACAGACCCTTGAGGTCCAATACAAAACCCATGAAAGTCAGTGGGAGACTTTCCTTTGACTACAATGGGTTTGGGATCAGATTTTAAGGCCCTCGTCCTGACAAAACTTGCTACTAGGAGTCGTGTTCTTCTGTAGTGAGTATCCCATAGCTCCAGTGAGGACTGCTACTGAAGGCTATCACTGTAGTTCTGTGTGGGCTAACTAAGCCACTCCTCATATAGTTATTGCTGGTGGTATCGTGGCCAGATGACTTCCTACCCTTCCCTGTAAGATCCTGTGGGAGGCTGGATAGTGAGCTAGCATTGTGGTGCCATGGGTCTGGGGAGGACATCTTCAAAGGGCCAGGCCCCCAATGGGTCACACTCTTCTACAAGCATAGGCCATGTGGCCTCAGCAACTCCTAGACTGAGCCTCTTTGCTCCAGCACTCCAGTTTCTTACCATGAGCTCTGCCCAGTGAATGTGACCGAAGCAGAGTCCTATTCAGAGACTTTTACTCCCTTCAGCAATCAATGCACTTCAGCAAGTATCTGCAGTGACTCTATGTAGCCTTTTCAAGACAGAGTAGGGTTGATTAGTCAACTGGAATACAGCATTGGGAAATCCTTTCTTCAACAGAGAGAGACCAAAGACTATGACAGTCCATTCTGTCTAAAGCCAGGGGTCCCTTGAGCCATGCTGCTGTAGGAAGCAGCTTAGTTTCCTTTCTCTTGTCACTTTCCCTTTTTCTTAGGGCTTGTCTACACTGAAGTGCTACAGCTGTGCTACTGCAGCTATGCCACTGTAGCACTTCAGTATGGCCACCATCTATACCAACATGGAGGATTCTGCCATTCGTGTAGATGATCCGCCTCCCTGAGAGGTGGTAGCTAGATCGATATAAGAATTCTTCCATCGACCTAATACTGTCTACAGAGGGATTTAGGTCTTAACTATGCTGCTCAGGGTGTGGATTTTTCACACCCCTGAGTGAAATAGTTATGCTGACTTAATTTTCTAGTGTAGACCAGGCCCAAATCCCAGGTGAGAGCTCCTGTGTCTCTGAGGCCAGTACTTAAAACAGATCCCTGACACCTCTCTTCATTCTCTGGACACAGCCATGCTATGTTCACATGTTCAGCCTCTGCAGTTAGGTGTTAATCTTCAGTGATTGGGGTTCCTGTTGTCTCTGTAGGGTCTTCCACTGATATACATTGGTTCCAGCCAGTCCTTAATGACCTGTTCGTATCACCCCAGACAATTACATGACTCAAACACCTAATGTAGCCTGCTCTTTACACTCCGTGTATAGCAGTACAAACCACAGAGGGAAAATGAGGTACACATGGGCATCATAAAATTCCCATATTTATCACAGCAAGCTTTGTCAAGCAATTTAAATATGCCAAATTTTGATAGTAAACCAATACTAACAGTTAATTGCTACCTTTCCAAGCTTCTATACTTCTGTGAAAGCTATTTGAAACTGACATAAAGACAGCTTTATTTCTTATACAGTACACCTTATGCTTCTGGAGCTAAAACTATGTTGAGTACATGCCAGTTTATTTGAGGTTTTAATCTTGACTCAGGTTAGGGGATTTAGGATGAGATACAGACTTAAAACCATGGCCTGTATTTGTGGGAAGAGGAGGTTTAGGTAGAGTATACTGCAGCCTAATTTTTTGGCCCAACCCAGGCCCAAGAGCATACAGTCATTTTCTGACCTGACCCTTCCCCCCAAACCTGAGTCAATGCTGCGCTGCCTCCTGCTTGTGGGGTAGGTACAGTGGCAGCTATGTGTCCGGCTCTTGCCAATGTCACTGTGCCAACCCCACAGGCAGGTGGAAGAGACCTGATCCAAGACCAAGAGGATCCGGTTGTCTTCCCACCCAACACAACCCAGACCTGATATTTGTTGGGTCCCACGGGGTCCAGATTGGGTATCAGGATTCTAGTTCGGAGTGGTCAGACTATACAGGAAGCCTGATTCTTCCAGAATGTGTTCAGGGAGTCTGAGAGAGCTCAAGCTGGAGTGAAGCTCTACCACCCTGTGAAAGGGTGCAGTATTTGCTTGATTTTACAAGAACACAGATTTTGACTGGCTCCTAAATCTCCTCAAAATAAGTAAGAGGGAATAAAGTGGTGTATAGTCTTTATGCAGGCTCCCTCTGTACATAGGTGAATTTCAGATAGTGCTCACAATGTAGATATTTGATCATTCTCATTGCTATAATTAACTCCTGAGGAGTTATGGATTGGATCCCTCAGTCTTGGTCCCACAGATCTTTCTGAGTATCACACCCCAAAGTTTATTGATATTGTACAGAGCTTCAACTCTCCAGGGGAGAATTGCTCAGTGTCCTTTACCTGCAACAGTAATGCTCTTTTAACTTGTCGGCTATGTAAAATTGTGAGATTTTCTTATTATTCTGTTTAGACTCTAATTCTTTTTTTAGTTTAAAAGGAACGAACCAGTTGGAGATTGACACATGCACACTTTTAAGATGCAAAGCACACTACCATCCTTAAGAGATTCTTTATTGCCTAAAAATAGCTTTCAGAGACAAAAGAGCCAAGGAGAAAGTTACATTCAGAGAATGGAGTAACAATTACAGGTAGAACATAATAAATAGGCAAAATTATTCACTTGAAATAATACACACTTTTTAGGGGGGAAAACAGTGTAAATGGTGCATAACATGTTATTGACCCTGCTCCTAAATTATTAGTTTTGTATGACCTAGATAATCAAAAACATCTGATATGTACAGCTGTAATATGAACACATACTATGAAGATGAAATAAAATAAATTGGAGTTTAAGATGTGTTTTGGCTGTATCTTCATGATAATTTATGCACTTTCATTCATAGGGAGGAATATAGCCAAGAACATATCACTCATAATTGCACATGTTTCAGGGTGATAGTGCTGATACTTTAATTAGAACAGCTGAAGATAAGTGTATACTGCTTTGCTTTAGAGAAAGCAAGAACGATTGTTAAATCTAAGGTTAATTGCAAGAGAGTTCTGTTCGTGTCCTCTTTGCTGTTTACTCTTGGTGATAACCGAAATGTCAGAATCCTTGACTTTGACTGCAACAGACTGGGCAGACCTGGTGTTGATTGCTACTGCCAACACGAAAGTGGTGCCGCGGTACTGCAGCTCCAGTTCTTAATCAATGAGGTAAGGCTATATGTACAGTGTGCAGAATCTTCTTTCTTTAAATATGGTTGAATGGTGCAATCTATATATTTTTGCAATGTAATTTCCAGATAGGGCAAACAAAGGGTCCAGCAAGAAACTATGGACCTGATTCTGCTGCTCATACTTGCACTCAGAAATATAATTTTCTGTGTATGTAATGCTGTTAAAATGAATGGGACTATATATAGTAAAAGGTATTACTCAATGTAAGTATGGGTGATAGAATCAGGGTCTTTATATGGTGATGTGAAATACTGAACACACAGTAAGCTGCATATGTGTAACCTAAATTCATGGATCATCTTCCTCACTGCACAGACATGTCTGAGATAGAAATTAATGAACTAACAAAAATGAATAAAACTTAGTCTGGAAATAATAATAATAATTAATTATTAATTATGGGGTATCAGGCCTCCTTCCACCAATTCAAGGCAGGCAGATTCCATTTTCTCCATACCGTGTGTGCACCGGAAGGAGTACAGGAGAGAGTTTCTCTGCTCAAAGTTCTGGTGCCACAGCAGCCCCTGGCAGCTGGGAGGAGCAATAGCAGAGATAAGCCTCAGCCCATGCCACTGCAGATGGAGCTTACTCGGTCACTCTGTGCAGATGGTACATACACAGTCTAGTCAGCATGGAGAAGCTGTGAGGGTTGGAGCTTGCTCAGTGCAGACAGAATCCTCAGAGAATGTAGTTTTCAAACTCTAATAAGAGCATGAGCATGTCCAACCTGTGTGTGTGGTTGGTTTTTTTGTTTTTGTTTTTTTGAAAGGCTCCTAAACTGTCCACATTTGGGCAGACTTTCATGAGGAAGGCAAAAGGCACATTCCTGACACACACACCACCCCCTGCTCCAAAGCAAGGAGGCATTGGAGCTTCTCAACAAAAAAAAATTTACAACCATTTTAACATGTGCAAAACAACATTTTTTCCTAACCTTGTTCTGAGAAACAACTGAATCATTTTAGCTGAAACTTCCCAGAAAAACTCATTTTGAGTATGGCATGAAATGTTTCAGCCTGAACAGGTAATGTTTGGCAAAGTTATAAGCAACTGAAAATAGGACCTTATAATGGAACGTCTCAGGCAACCTTAACTATAGGTGTAACTGCCTAGAGCATACTCTTAGGCAAAATAGTTTTACATAGGTATTTAAAACTTATTTAATGAAACATTTCTATTCAGCCTTTCCTACTTACATTAAAGTTGACACAATTACTTTTGGAGTATGTGTGTGAACACCAAAAAATGTATGTGCCACCATTTTGTCATGTGAATCACTCTTCCTTCTGCTTTCTTTCCGATCTTAGCTTTTGTGGTTCTGTGCTCCTCTAGATCATGTATTCACCTGCTGACTATTCATTCAGTGTCTTCTTTATTAGCTCCTTTGCTTCCTTTCTCCTATCTGTGGGGTTTTCTGCAGGATTTTTTTTTTTTGTCCTCTCCTTTCCTATTTCTATTCTGTGTACATGTCTATCTTTTCTCATGGATTTAACTACCATATCAAATCTGACAGTTCTTGATTTACCTCTCACTCTGTATCCATTCACATTTAAGAGGGACAGCTGTAGATGTTCAACCACCATCTCAAACTCTAGTCTTCTCACCTTTCCTCCTAAACCGCCTCCTCCTCCTCCGCTTCCCTTCTCTATCTTGATTGAGAATTCCACTTTCTTTCCTGTTTCCCAGGCCCATAATTTTTTATTGTACTCTCCCCATCCCTTCTCCCATAGTCAATCTTTAAGTCACATCTCTTCTTCCTCTTTATTGTAACCAAAATCCACCTTTTTTGCTTACAACTGTCCACTAGTGGCAGATTAGCCACTGGGCCTACTGGGCCCAGGTCTAGGGTCCCGACCAACTGGGGGCCCCTGAGCTCCAGGTGGGCGGGGAAAGCCCCTGCGCCCTGACCCCACTCCCGGACTGTAGTGCCAGGTGGGCAGGGTAGCGTGGCTTGGCAGCTGGGGAAGCTCCCCGTGCCCCCGACCCTGTTCCCCGGTGCCATCTGCATCTCTTCTCACTTCCCCTGCTCAGTCTCCCTACTTTCATCCCTCTCCTCTTACTTTCACGTCCTTTTCTCATTCTTGATTTTGCATTTTCTGTTATCTTGACGTGATTATTATACTGTGCCTGGGGCAGTCTCCCATTCCCAGTGTGCTAAGCACTCTCTCCTTGCTTCAACTGCCTCCTTCAAACCCATCTTTTCAAGCTAATACCTCCTTCCTTCTTATTCCCATTCTTCTGCATTCTTCCTGGTTTATCAATCACAAAAACATTTAATATCAAATGTTTAATACTCGAATGAGCTCTTTGATTTTCCAGATCAGCTCAAATTTGATCATTTTAAGTTAGTACAGGATCAATCAAAGCAAAGTAATGGTTGTTGCAGAGTATTTTTTTCAGAAGGAAAATAAGTATTTCACAGATGTTGTACTGCTGTCTACTTACAGATTGTCTTATTCTTAAATAATCTTCCCTTTCAATATGCAAATGAATAACATTCCACCATATTCTGTCTCTGATTGTTGTAGGGTGCCTTGGTCAGTGCGAGTGCAGATGACACGCTTCATTTGTGGAACCTAAGACAGAAACGGCCGGCTATTCTTCATTCTCTGAAATTTAACAGAGAACGGTAAGCCAGTTTGACAATAAACAAAGATGTCATTTTAGAAACTGACTAATTAGATTTTGCTGACATGTCAGTGGTGGGAGGATTTGTTGTTGCATATGGGTTTCTTGTTTGTTTTGGGTTTTTTTACTGACTTAATGAATGATGTAGCTGATTGCCTTGAAAGTTTTTCTTCCTTTATAACTTTTAAAATCTGGTTTACCACAGAACACAATTCAGCAGAGTGCAGCTTGTGGTGCAGTAGCCCCCTCAAATCTGTAGAATCCATTTCTGCTTCCCACTAAAGATGGGGGCTTCTGTGACCTTCTAATTGTACAAACTGGCACAATAGTGGTCTTTTCTGACCTTCAAAAGAATCTATGATCTTCTATTCTGACCTACTTGCACAACACAAGCCATAGTCCTTCACCCAATAATTCCTGTATTGAAGGGAATATTCTTCTCTACCGTGTAATGATGTGGAATCCAGATTTTTGACAAATTGGCCCTTATTATTTTCCAGTAAATACTGGTATGTTAACATAATAATGGAGATGTGTAATATAATTATGATGAGTAAATCTCATATGATTCAGAGATTTGCTTTCATGATTAGTTTTGCTTTTTGAATGCCTAATAATTAGAAGTCTCTAGACCAAATAGATTAAATCAATGGTAAATTTTTTCAAATTTAGCTACCTATAGATCAGTCACTTTTAAATATGCCTGTATTTTCAGAGATGCTGAGCACTCAGCTCGATTGACATCAGTTACAGCTGCAGGTAGAGAGGAAGGATTGTAGCAGAGCAGCAACTCTGTTATTGTTATGGTTAAGACCAGCTATTTGTTTAAAGTTTGACTGTTCTAAATACTCTAAAATGGTGCGGTTACTTGGATTGCCTTGAAATTTGGTGCCCCTCATGGGGATTCAGGGTAGGGTCAGTGATCCAAGTTTAGAACCATTTAGCCAAGGGATTCTTAAGATACACCACAGGATGGGGGATGGTAAGAGTGGGGGTGGGAAGCTTTTCTTAAAGTTGACTTATTCTGGCAACCCTTTTTCTGTGCACAGATAGAGCTCAAACCATGGCTCGTAACATTGCACTATCTCCAGTACTTGAGGGTTACGCCAGTAGAGTGTATGGTACCCACCAGGCCTTTGGGGGGGAAATCAGATAAAAGCATTGTTTGAAAAAGAGTTTGCTTCTCCAGTTTGGCATGTGCCAAGCAGTTCTAAAGTTCACATGTCGAACAGATTATTCTCAGCATGCATGAAGTTATGAATTTTTTTTAAGGCTGAAAATTCTGTTACTAGCTGGATAGCCCAAGGGGCTAAGCAATTGTCCTTTACCCCTTTTTGTGTCAGTTCAAGTCCCACTTACTGCAGAAATCTTGAAAAGGTCAGAATCATGTTGCTAAGATTTGTCTCTGTCAGGTGTGATTTGGTTGTTTTGAGTGAAAGTACTTTGATTACTTTTCTCCTCCCCCTCCCCCTACAAAAGACATGTGACTGTTTCCTTGCAGGCAAGGAACATTTTAGTGTGGAGGAGTGGGGTGTGTGTGGGGGAATAGAAATGAGAGGAGTTTGGGGCTGCATTGAGGGGAGGGGGATTATGGGGAGTGGGATAAATGAGGATGGATGGTGGAGGGGTGAGAGGAGTTAGGTGGCTCAGGTGAAAGAGAGGGACACTGGGAAGGAGACATGGGGTGAGTGGCAGGGTGACTAGGGGAGAATGGGGGCAAGGTTGTCTAAACCCAATGTTCTCCCCTTCTGTGTGTGTGCCAGGATCTGGGGGCCCTTTGCCCCTCTAGGGCAGTCTGAGCCTCTCTCCCTGCCCCACCTTCATGTGAACTACAATCTGGGGTTCCTTGCCCCCGAATGGTGGCTGAGCCCCATTCACTGGTATCCTGTGAGTAAGTGTGAAGTGGTTGTTAAATTTCACAAGTGTAGTATTCTGGCAGGAGAGTACCCTAAGTTTTTGAGGGTAGAGCAGATGCAGGTAGCTCCTTTCCTGTACAGTGAAAAAGCAGAGTGCAAGTATGTGTGATAGGGCTGTTTTGGGTTATCTCTTAGAGGGCAGAGTTAAGGTTACCTGGGCATGTAACTTAACTCTGTATTCCTGGTTTTCTGAAGTTTGGGTTTTTCCAAACAGTATTCTAGAAGGGCATGAGCTCTCACTGGGCATCCTTAACTGTGTGAACAAAGTTTATTGCCATTTAATACCTTTTTTTGTTTAGGAGTGTGAAGGTTGTGGACCTCTGGAGACATGCAGATACTTATGTGCAGTGCTTGGGAGAAGCCAGTAGTCTAAGTACATGTAGGTACCAGTGATATAGGGAAAGGTAGGAGAGAGGCCCTGTAGTCCAAGTTTAGGCTGCTAGGTAGAAAATAAAATCTAGGACCTCCATGGCAGCATTCTCTGAACTGTTTCCAGTTCATGCACATGGCCAGTTAGACAGGCAGAACTGCAGGGTCTTAATGAATGTATGAGATGATGGTGTTGGGAGGAGGGATTTCAGTTTATGAGAAACCGAGGAACCTTTTTGGAAAGAAGGAGCCTATACAGGAAGGATGAGCTCTACCTAAATCAAAACGGAAGCAGATTAGTGGCATGTAAAATTAAAAAGGTCATAGAGGAGGTTTTAAACTAAGGATTGGGGGAAAGCCAACAGGTGCAGAGGAGCATACAGTTGAGACAGACATCTCTTAGGGGAGGATTTATTAAAGAGGATATTAAGATAGCCTAGTAAAGAGGAGAGGATAGAAGTTGGTAAAGTACAGGTTGAAACTGGAGAGAAACTGTCAAACAAGGAAGACTGAAGGTAGTCAATGAAATATTGACAAATTTTATGTGTTTGTGTACAAATGCTAGAAGTCTAAATACTAAGATCTGTGAACTTGATTGCCTGGCATTCAGTGAGGAGATTGATATAATAGGCATCACGGATACTTGGTAGAATAATAGTAATCAATGGGACATGGTGAGACCTGGATACAAAATATAGAGGAATGTCAGAGTAGGTTGTGCTGACGGGGGAGTGGCACTATATGTGAAAGAAAGCATAGAGTTAAATATACTAAAAATCTTAAATGAAACAAACTGTACTATAGAATCTCTATGGATAGAAATTCCATGCTTGAATAAGAGTATAGTAGTAGGAATACACTAACAACCACCTGAGCAGGATGGTGATGGTGATTGTGAAATGCTAAAAGAGATTAGAAAGAATACAAAAAATTTCTCCCCAAAGCCCCCATCAATAATAGGGGATTTCAACTATCCCCATATTGACTGGGTACCTCTCACCTCAGGACTGGATGCAGAGAAAAAATTTCTAGACATTAAATAACTGCTTCTTGGAGCAACTGGTCCTGGAACCCACAAGGGAAGAAGCAATTCTTGATTTAGTCTTAAGTGAAGTGCAGGATCTGGTCCAAGAGGTGAATATAGCTGAACCGCTCCATAATAGCAACCATAATGTAATTAAATTTAATGTCTTTGTGGGGGAGGAGGGAAACAAAAAGCCCACCACAGTAGCACTTAATGTCAAAAAGGGGAACTACACAAAAATGACCAAGCTAGTTAAACAGAAACTACAAGGAACAGGCATGAATAAAATGCCTGCAAGCTGCTTGGAAACTATTTAAAAACACCATATTAGATGCTCAAATTAAATGTATACCCCAAATTAAAAAAAAGACCAAAAATGGCTAAACAGAAGAGGAAAAGAGATGGTTAGAGACAAAAAGGCATCTTTTAAAAATTGGAAGTCAAATGATATTGAGGAAAATAGCAAGTCAGGTATAAAAGTATAATTAGGCAGGCCAAAAAAGAATTTGAAGGGTAACTAGCAAAAGATTCAAACTAACAGCCAAAAAACTGTAAGTACATCAGAAGCAGGAAACCTGCCATACAGTAAGTGGGGCCACTGGATGATTCAGGTTCTAAAGGAGCGCTCAAGGAACACAAGGCCATTGCAGAGAAGCAAAATGAGTTATTTGCATTGGTCTACACTGCAGATGATGTGCAGAAGATTCCCAAACCTGAACCATTCTTTTTAGGTGACACATCTGAGGAACTGTCCCAGATTGAGGTGTCAGTAGAGGAGAATTTGGAGCAAATTGATAAATTTAAACAGTAATAAGTCACCGGGACCAGATGATATTCAACCAAGAGTTCTGAAGGAACTCAGATATGAAATTGCAGAACTACAAACTTTGGTATGTGACCTATTGCTTACATTAGCTATCCACCAGTCATCTGGTACAGAGGCTGATTTAACACCATTTTTAAAAAAAAAGGCTCCAGAGGCAATCCGGGCAAATCCCTAACTTCAGTACGAGGCAAATTGAAACTATATGAAAGCAGAGAATTATCATACACATAGATGAACACAATTTGTTGTGGAAGAATCAACACTGCTTTTATAAGGAGAAATCATGCCTCACCAATCTATTGGAATTCTTTGAAGGGGTCAACAAAAACGTGGACAAGGGTGATCCAGTGGATAGAGTGCACTTGGACTTTCAGAAAGCCTTCGAGAAGATCCCTCACCAAAGGTTCTTAACCAAAGTAAGGAGTCATGGGAAAAGAAGGAAGGTCCTCTCATCGATCAGTAACTTGTTAAGACAGGAAACAAAGGGTAGTAATAAATGGCCAGTTTTCACTGTGGAAAGAAGTTAATAGCAGGGTCCCACCCGAGGATCTGTACTGGGACCAGTGCTGTTCAATGTATTCATAAAGGATCTGGAAAAGGGTGAACAGTGAGGTGACAACTTTTGCAGATGATACAAAAGATAGTTAAGTCCAAAACAGATTGCGAAGAATTACAAAGGGAACTAAAAAAACTGGGTGACTGGGCAACAAAATGGCAGATATAATTCAATGTTAAAGGCACATTATAAAAAAAAATAATCCCAACATACAAAATGATGGGGTTTAAATTAGCTGTTACCACTTAAGAAAGATCTTGGAGTCATTATGAATAGTTCTCTGAAAACATCTGCTTAATCTGCAGTGGCA